GGGGTAAAGGGGGTAAAGGGGCTACGGGGCTCTGGTTACTAGTGTCGATGATTCAGCAACACCCTGGGGCCCCCCGCCTAAAAAACAATGGGCCCCAGTGTGCAAGAAACATTGACACAACCTGTCCTCTTTTCCTCCTTCCCCCCTCAGTCTGGATCTCTCTCTCTCTCCTCCCAAATCTCCGATCTTCTCGCTCTCTCTCCTCCTCTCTCGATCTCATCTCTCCTCTCTCTCTCAACCTCTCTCTCTCTCTCTCCTCTCTCTCTCTCTCTCTCTCTCTACCTCTGTTGTTCATTCTTTCTCTCACTCACTGGCAGAGAACAAGGAATGTTAATTAAAGGCTGTGAGAACCAGGGAAAAAAACAGGGCTGATAGAGACACAAAAGGGAAGATAGCAGGCAAAGAATGGTGTGTGTCAACCTGGATAGGTAACAGAGTGGAAATACAGAGATGAGATTTGTGACAAAAACAGTGGCCAGGAAATGAATAACTGAGCAGAGAGCTGAAAAAGTACAGCACAAGGACAACACACGTTTATTGGGTGGGCGTGGATGGGGGGTTCCCGGACAATTTGATGGGAGATAAACTGCATGATACAAGAACTTATATAGTCCAGTGCAGAATGTTTTCAATAAGCCAACACTAACATAACAATGCTGACATCTCTCACTGCCATCTAAACTACAGTTAATACTAAGAATGCAATTGGTGCTGCTCTCTTTACGTTTTTGAAGTAACTTTCTACTATAACTCAAGGGGTTAGGCTGAACGAGAGCCAATATCTACATGGCACAAACCTGTGCAGGGTGTGTTTATTTGGTGTGTGGAGGAATGCAGCTGTTTTGCTTAATGCTAAACAAATTAGACCAAACTAAGCATCATTAATTGTAAACTGTGTGTTAACTGTGAACAAGAAGTGTGGCCAGTGCAGTGCAGACACAAGGAGCCGTGCAGAAGGGTACAAAGAAGGAATCAAACGATACCTTCCAGTTGGCCAGTTCTTGGAACTCAATGATCTTAATGAAGCCTCCCATTAGAATCCCTGGAAAGAACAAGAGACAAGAAAAACAATACCACTGTTTAAATATTTTACTACTTCATTTCATACTTCATCAAATTTCAATACAACCAGAATAAGTGCAAACCTGAGGCAAAGAGACTATTTTGGTGGTTAAAAATAAATAAATTCTTGGCAAATGTCCACCATAGTTCAGGGATGAATTAGATGCGAAGCGTGTAGTGCTTTTGTCTTAATTTTGTCTTTGAGAAAGTCCCATGGGCCCTCAGTTCTCTAGCAGAACATTAGTTGAAAGGGTGAGGAAAACACAAAGATGTGGAAAAGGACAGAGAAAGACAGATAAGATGGAGAAAAAAAATTGTAAGCATCAAAGCATTGTCTAAGACCCAGATATGTGGGCATATGTAAAGGGGTCGTGAAGAGGAAGACACATGAAGAGTAGACGAGAAAGAGGAAGTGATAAGGAAGGAAAAGTGGTCCTTCCTGATTTGTAAGCAGAGTGTTATCTCTGTTCAGCAGAGTTCCCTGCTCTAAACACAGAGATGAGCTCCGTCTCACATGCAGTATGCAGGGCATGCAAGAGGAAAAGGCCTTCAGGGTCAGGACAGATAAAGATGTGTGTCACTGAGTTTGAGTGAGTGTAACTGCATAAACATGTTGGAAGTGGGAGACAATGGAAGACATTACAGGAAGGGGAATTACCCTCAAGTGACCTCACACAAGTAGCAAAACTGATTCTCTGGAGAAAAAAAAATCTTTTTACAACAAAGCACTTACTAAATCTTGGGAAAGGTTGTCAGTGATAGCATTGGGTTAGTTTTTGCTCATCGTAAAAAAATACACATATTTGACTTTATTATTTCAAATTGGAAATTTGCAATAATGTTAGAAATTTACTAAGGGGAAGAAGCTGGAGTGAAAGATGTAAATCATGAAAAAAAGGCATCAACTATTTATGCCTGCTTTTAGTTTGCTGTCCTACAACCGTCTTAAAAAAAACAGCATTTCCTAGAGAGCTCTTAAATACAGAAACATTGCACGTTCCTAGACCCAGCCTGCGCACAGAAATATGTTACATAAGAAGAACTCACCAAGGGACACGACAGCCACACTCTCTGGAAGAAAATGCAGCTTGAACTTGATAAGCAGGTGCACCAATATGATGCAGATACCTGGGGTGAGTGAGAGAGCAAAGACAACTGAATGAATATTCAGGACAAACACATCCACATCCCAACCATCATGTCACACCAACTCAGATCAGCCCAAAAATAACCCCCACATCATATAGTGTTAAGATCTTTTCTATGGTCCTGCTGTAGACTGGACAAGAATTAAGGGTTGAGCGATTATCAGCCTGGCCAATTATCGGATCCGATATCCAGCATGTTTCCGATTATCGTTAGTTTTTATTCTATCTAAAATAAATTAATTCAAAAGTATGCTACTTTGGCTCTGATGCTGCAGCCTCTCTCTATCTGTAGTCACCACTCTGGGGTTGGGCTCAATGTCTCACCCACAGGGCTATCTGATTGGCTAATCGTCTTTAGAAACAGTCTGTGTGCTGTGCCAAACAAAGGAGACTCCGGTGAGTGAGCGGAGTTGTGTTTCCTTCCTTAAGGTAAGGCAGGAGTGTGTCCTGAAGCTGTCTCTGTTTCTTGTAAAGAGGTGTAGGATATTGTTGTTAGAGACTTAACTTTCATTACATTTATTTGATAAGTTTAGTTACTAGTTATTAATTACTTTGCAGATTCAGATTAGTAATATAAAATTAAAATCAACTAATAAATTGATATATTGTTATAAATTAAGCTACACAGCAGCATATAAAGTAAATAAAATAAGCTCTACCTTTACCAGTTGCAACATAAATGAAAACATTAATACACCAATAATTACAATTCAGTAATATACTATTCTGAAATGGGCCATTCTGAACTCTTAATTTTGTTACTTTAAATATATGTTAACTTTTACTCAAGTAATATTTTGAATGCAAGACTTTTCCTTGTAGTACTTTTACATTATGTTATTAAGTACTTCTTCCACCACTGGTTAATCCATACATGGACTGCATAGATGGTGTACAGTTGTTAGAGTTCAACAATCCCTTCTATTGCTATTGTACATATTCAGCTATAGTTACCATTAGTAATGAAGTAGCCTAGTTTCGAAAAACAGGTTTTATAATAATAGTAATAAACGCCACATAATTGTTTGTGTTTTAAGCAAATCCTTGATTATAAATATACTGTCAACCCCTAACAGGGATGTGTATGAAAAACATATCATATAACAATATCTTATGCAAATAAGTTCAAATACACTTGCTTGACATTTAGAATTACAGTTCTGAGACTGAACAATAAAAGATAATTGCTCCCAATTAAAACATGAAATTAGCTTTTAACAGAACCATAGGCTAATGTCAAATGCACAGTATATCAATGTGCTAAATCAATGTGTACACATATTAGCATAATTATGATGACAAACCCCAAGGGCACAGTAAAGTAAACACCAATTCATAAATACAGTAAAAATGCAGTTCAGCAAATGAGACAGTGTATGCAATAGTGAAGCCGGCTAGGTCGGTTCATCAAAGCTGAACTGTTTTGTCATAAGGGAGATGTTAAATTCAGGCCTAATTAAAAACACACACACACTTGTTGAGGGAAATGTTAATATGGGTTCTGAGTAGTGCTATTTAGGACTAATGTGCGGTTTCTAGATTGTACTCTAAGGTGGTCTATCATTTATTGACCTATGCCATCTCAGTCAACCCACTGATGAGTTGGTATTAACTTCAGAAGACAAATGACTACGAATAAATGCTGTGCTTCTCGCAACCAATCAAATGTTTGTCACACTGAAATACTTTGTTCAAGATAAAATCCATTTTTTTTGTGTCTACTAAGCGGATGAGTCTAATTGGGAACCTTTTGCATGATTTATGCTATTTCCTTGCCCTAAACCCTTACAGTGGTAAGCATGTGACTTGACCTGCAGTGAACTGAAGTGCATAATGGTCACTTTGTGTAGAAGAAGAAGCACTTCATGACCTTACACATAATGTTTAACCACATCCTTTCCATTATCCACTTCCCTCAACCTGAATCACTAGCCACACATTTGATTTAATGAATCACTAAAGTGGCTGTACAGTTGTCATTGTCAGCTGTATGTATATTGTATGAACCACAATAGTCATGGTGTGGTTCACTTCCTCCTTTCTTTCCTCTCCTGTGTACTCAAGGAGGAGACTAAACTACATTCCTGTAACAATGTGAATGACGTCTTTATGCTTACTGTGGCAGACTACAACAGAAAGGGCTGAGTCAACAATGCAGCAACATTGATACTAACCAATAACCAGCAGACTGAAGAATATAGTCAACCCGCTGGACTGCTCTTCTTCTTGGGCCTCGACCCCTGTCTGCATGGGCAAAATGGGCTTGGCGGTTGGGGGTGCCGGGGTCGTCGGCTTGACAGCAGGTTTGGTGGAGTGGATTGTCTCATTGCTGTTGTTTTCAGTGTCATTGGACTTACTGCAACAAAACAGTCAGGAGAAAAAGCATGTTGGCGTGAAGAATACAGTCAATCAATCAAGATAATGGATAAATAAGGCTCTGGCTTCAATACACATCCCAAATTCAAGAGTAATCATTTAAATCATGTTATTTTTAAAACATAAAGGTAAAATAAACACACACTGTAAGTGTATCATTAATATTAAACTTTAAAAATACTGGGGGTCTCCCTCTCTGTTTCTAAGGATTGCTGGCCCTTGGACAAGAAGCCCTCTATGTTGAGTAGAAACAGATGTGTGAAAAGATGACTTAAATATGTATCCAGAGCTACATCAGTGCATCTACAGGGCACGGTCTATGCACAATTGGACAAGAGTAACTTAACTAAGGCAGACAGTCAATCACAGGAAGAAATGTTGTTGCAGTAACACTATAATAAAAATGTTTTGCCATGTAAGACACTTTGTAAGCTTGTGTTTTGAAGAAGTGCTGAGTCTTTTTCTGTTATTATTACTACTCATCATTATTATTATTATTATCATAAATCCTAGTTATCCTCGTCGTGGCCGACTTGTGTGTCACATGAAAGCGTAATGACACCTTACTAAACCAGAGAGACTCAAATGAAGGGACCTAACGTCAGAAAAGACGTAGAGGTGATTAAGGTAGGTATTATTTATAGCTATGTCAAGGTAAGGTGGTCCCCTACAATGTTTTTTTACCACCTCATTTATTTGACTTTGTACAAGGTAAAGTAACTTCTGCGTTGTCTCTTATTTGGTAATGCTGCGGAGAACTCACTGTACATATATTACGTAAAACAAAAACCTTACATGGCTTATTATTTGCTTATCTTTCTGTACAAAATCCAACGTTACAATAATTATCAGCTGTTACTCAGCAGGCTAACTTAGCAACGTGTCCTTAAATTGTTTGTTAGCGTTAAGTTACGTAAGTTACAACGAGGCTCCTGCTAGCTTGTTTGCTAACTTATATTTGGGATACAAGAGTTCTCCAGAAAGAGAACTAAAATCAATATACGTGGGCTCAAACCTGACAGACTGTCCGTCCTTCTGTTTCGTTTCCACTCCATCTTCATTTTCATGTTTTATTAGTGTCTGCTGGTTTTCAACTGGAGTATTATCACTGTGATTCACGTCCCCTCCGTCATCCTTGTCGCGCAGGTCCAGCGGGTTTTCCCTCTCAGCTCGCTCTGGTACGCACGGATTTACGAACAGCAGCAAGAGGGACAGCAACGCAGCTGTGTGGCTAAAGGCTCTCATCCTAAAACCGGCGAGTTTAAACCCGAAAGCAACGTTTTGTAATGAAAAACACTGCAGCTTCCATGTCGACAGCCCCGTGTGTCTGTTGACATCACGGGAGCACTTCCTGGTGGCGGCTCTGTCGGGAGTTGTAGTCTTTACGTTACATGGGCGACGCGACCGAATACCAGAGAAACAAACGGAAGCGGTTTGATGCAGCTGCTGCCAAGAAAACATGTGTATTTTTTTTGTGTGTGTGTGTGTGTGTGTGTGTGTCACAGTGGATGAAATCCCCCTTTCAGTGTTTTAAATGAAGTGTCGATGGCTCACAATAATTCTTGTGTTCTCAATTTCCCATGAGCCAGTATAGTGTGGTGTCAGCAGCCCGCCTGTTGTTTTATGGATGTTGTAGTTTGTATTGTAGCCTGCACTAGCTGAAAATTACCTGCAGATAGAGGAAATACTAAAAACCGATGCAACCTTTCATATACTACACTGCAAGATCCCACCAAAAAAATCATACGTTTGTATCCAGTGGTTAGATCACAGCTTTCATATTATATAAGCACCTCTAGCTTAGCTTTTGCATTGTCTGGATCTGATTGTTTCAAATGCCATCGACAATAGTAAAATAAGAATCAGCTTCATTACTACTTACACATAGAACATTTTACAGGAGGATAGAAAGAGACATGCAGCTAAGAACAAGGACAACAAAGCTGAACAAAGATAAGTCAGAATAAGCACACAACTTTTGAATTTCTCCTAAGGGGGATCAATAAAGGAACATCTTATCTCTTATCTTAACTATTATTTACAATACAAGTAGGTGAGAAATATATATGTTTAATAATAAAACAATGGCCAACCACACACAGTGTTTAGATCACATTATATATACTGTCAGTGGTCTACATATGAGTCAAGTGTTCTGTAGCTTGTAAACAAATAGTGCGAAGGAATGAACAGTGAATGGGTATATTACTTATACATGAAGTGAGTGGTTATATATAGTATATGCATGTCTATATACAATAAAGCGTGCAGGTTTTATATAGATGGATGATATGTAAAACTATATGATAAAATGAAAAATCTAACAGCCCTGCAACACATTCTATATATGCTATAAATCCAGTAGAACTAAAGGTTGATGTTTTTAGTGTTGATTTTTTTTTTTTTTTGGTAAATATCTGAGACACTGAAAAGAGTCACGATTGTTATAATGTTAATTTATTTGTTGTTTGTGTGTGTGTTATATTGATGAGTGTCCACCCCATTCATTGGAGCGTGGACTGAACTCATCTCCAGCCTCAAAAATGACCATAAAGCTTAAAATAAATAAATTAAATACATTAAATGAGTAGATAAAATCTAAATTAGACGAGATATGTGAATCCTGTTAAACTAAATACCATATTGCCACAACAACGCTGTGACGACGTCGCGACAGTTGTCAAGGTTGCACTGCTACGAATTTCTCGGTCGCCAGGTTACGACGTTTAACGGCCGTAAAGGGCGTGCTGCGTGTGTTTGTCGGCCACTGTTAACGCCCACTCGGTGTTGCTCATTTTGCTGAGGGGCTGCCCCATTCATAGGGCCAGTAGGCAGGCAGGCAGGCAGGCGAACTGCGGGAGCGGCTAAATACCATCAACGACGGAGCGTGTGAGCCAAATGATGGTCTATCACTGAAAACACCAGGCCAGGTTGAACTGCGGTATCTTTGTCAGCCGTTTCGACATCGGACACACTCTCATGTGAAACTGAAACCGCCCTCTCAGGAATGGGATTTTGAATGTCTTGATGAAATACCGGAGGAGCTCTCCTGTGTTCGACCTGCCGCGGAAATAGACTGACTTCCTAGTCGCCTGCTGCCCACCGCTGCCGCAGACCCGGCCACCCTACCCGGCTCATTAAACCCAGGCTGTCCGCGGACCTCCTGGCTCTGGCATCTGGACACATCGGAACTGGTCTATCGTCGTTGTAGATACGCAAACGTGCCTGTGTGTGTGTGTGTGTGTGTGCGCGCTTTCGCTGCCTGTATAATGCCGACACATTTGCGGTTCCGGAGAAGGTCATTCCTTGGGCTTTTATTCCTCTTTTCACTGTCCACCTCCGCATTGTACTTCATCTACTCCGCCCCCGGAATCGGTAAGTCAAATCAAACCGATGTTATTATTAATGATACCACTCAGACATTAGGATGGAGTGAGGTTGTTTCTACGGTCTGTTAGGTCATGTGTGACAGTTCTGCTTTCCATTGGGAGTGTAAGCGAAGGGGCCATGCGCCTGTGCTGAGCCTGGATCTCTCCCAATCGATGAGGAGACTCGGCTGGATGCTGGAGCTCGACCATATAATACCCATGTACCTGGATATGATAATAACAGTGCTACTGATGAGCATCCTGGCTGCTGTAATCATACTGATGTTAGCAGGCCTTACAGCTATCATTAAAATGCTCATAGGGACTGGCGCCATTGGAAGAATTGTGGTATCTTTGGGTTCATTGTTGGCATCTGTAGTATAGTCAAAGTTGAGTCGTGTAGTAACTGTGAAGCTGTCTGACTGCTTTTTGGGGTATTTTTTTGGGGCTGGGCAAAAGGTCTGATTATGAGTCGAAGCCATGACTCATAATAGGCCGAAATTACATTGATGAAGTCAACCTGAGCATCACTGACAAACACATTGTGGCTGACATCATTAGCTGCCTGGAAGTCACATGCAGTTGTGTAATATCGCATGTCCTGAATCCATCCTATCATTAATTCATTTATGTGTCTCATCATTCTCTCCTTTCTCTCTCTTTTTTTTTTCTTTCTCTGTCACTCTTTTGGTAATCTCATTGAATGAGAGTCTTCTTGTGTATCTGTGCTATCACCCATCTTGCCTTGGAGGCTCGGGCCTTGGTGTGCTTATCTTATCCGCCTAGATATGTTTGGCCAATCATGTTTGCTATTTCTGGTCATTATCACCCATGTGATGTGCAAACACCAGTCATTTAATCGCAGCTGATCTGGGCAGAGCTTATCTTGATGCATAGCACTTACTATTAAATTGTAAACTTTCACTGGACTCTGTGCCAGTCATATCTGTTATAACTTTCCACAGAAGTGATTAATAAAATATAGCAATAAAATGGTTGCATACATGCTTTTATTTTGAGCATAAGTTCTCGAGGAAATACTTGAGGAAATGCAGTTAAAAGTTGGCTGCTGAGACTTTTTCCTATTTACTGATTAATCCATCGTTTGTTGGATATCCTGTTGTGCTTGCCGAACAGGCTTGCTTGGCAAGGTTGGGCTTCCTGGAATCATTGTTACACAGTGTCTGCTGCGATTAAACCAACCCACACCAATAGGCTTTACCTGAGCCCAAATACAACCGTAAACCAACGCGTTTATAGAAAAAAAAAAAAAGTCCCAAAGCATTTTAATTTCCAACGGAGTTACAATCAATAGCTAAGGGCCTTTCACTGCCAAAAACGAGATCCTGTGATTGTTGGCGTGGGGAGTGACTGTGTGACCAAAATAGTGTTTGTCATACAAGTGTAGCCTTTCTAAAACATCAGAGAGTGAGATCTGGTCCTTCTTGCTCATCAAAAAGGGTATTGATCCTTTCACGCTTTTTTACCTGCTGTGGACAACTTAATCAATAATTGAATCAATTCTCATATGGAGGACACATGTCCCAATAACAGACAGCAATGACTCCTCTGAATGTCAAACTAATAAACAAATAATTTGTTGAGCAGCCAGCATAAAGATAATCCTTCATTCACTTGTTCACTATTTTTCCAGCCCAAGTATTGATGGTGTCTGGTAACTGACTGACAGCGTGGCCATATCCGTCCTCCTGGGGGTTGACTACTGTACGGCTGTAATGGCCATGTGCTTTACTGGGGGTTAGTTCAGAAACAGAAGGACCAGCAGCACCAGTTCATTAATTATAGATGGTAACCAGGAGCTAGTTGTTACTAAAAGCTGCAGTTTAGTCTTTTACACTTCGGGTGCCTGGTGAAAAACCTAGTGGATCTGAGGGAGGAATGGTGCTTTAAAGGAGTAGTTCCACATTTTTTTTGACATGTGGTGGTATGATTTACTCACTGGTAGAGTTATTGACGGATGTTGATTAGCTGATGTTTTAGATCTTGTGGTTAGATACCTACCAGTGAGCCACAGATTATGAAGCAGAGAAAAACAGTAAATGTAGCCAGTTAACGAAAACATTTTAAACCATAACACAGGATTAGCATTCGATTTACCTATCCCCAACAGAATACAGCATCTTTAGTGTACAATCTTCCCTCGGACCACATGGTGTGTGCTATCGTGGACCTATTTAACAAGAAAATAGCACCATAGAGCCATAAATCAAGCATCAGACATACAAGATGTCTTATTCTGTTGTGGATGATTCAAAGTATTGAGAACTGTGCTGGTGTGACTCCTTTTCTTGGCTACTGTTTATTGTGTAAACTAACTACAACCCCCAGTGAGGTTGTAGTTCACATAGTGGTAGCCTAAGCTATTGTCGATACATCAATATTACTTCCAGTAAGCAACCAGCATTACAGTATGTGTGAAAATCTGCCCTGTCCCTTTAAGAGCAGGTGAAGACCGAGTGGACTTCAGAGTGGATCCTTCACATCATTTCACTGTACTGTAGCTATAAAGAACCCAGCAAGACACGAATCATCACTCTCCCTATCAACATTATTATCTTTCAGCATACAATGTGGGTTTATTGATTTGGGATATCCTATAGCTTTAGAATGGAGGAGCTCTCGCCACAGATGTGTGCAGTATATCGTTGAATGATGGCAGCTACACTTTGAAGGTGAACAGATTTGCTGAGAGGGATCACATAGGAGGGGGCAGTAAAGAATTATCAGAATAATTCAGAGGAAAAACCAGAAAGATTGATAAGGGCAAAGGGAGGGGGAGGAGGGGGATATAGAGAGGGAAGGATGAAAGAGATGAGCCAAGCTCCTTTCCTTCTGCTGGTTTGCACACCGGGGAACCCAACCAGAACACCTGAGCAGGGCTTCCTATGATACCCAGGTGGCTTCAGTGCAGAATGCCCCAATTTCACGGCTTAGTCCATTTCTGTCTCTCTCGCTCTCCGCTGCCATCTTCCTCTGTCTCTGTCTCTCGGTTTCTCTGTCTCCGTGTACTCGTATGCACCGACACCCCAGCCTCTGTGCTGCCCCCGAGCATGGCTGCCGACTGATGCGGGCTGGAAACACAGGGCACAGCTGGGCCTGATTGCAGCAGTTTATTTAATTAAAACATGAGAGGATCCCACTGGAGCGAGAGCTAGGGAAGACACAGGCTCTATTTATAGGATGAACACAGATGCACACCTCCACATCCGGGGAGAGCAAGGAAGACAGGTGCTTCCCTTTGTCTTTGGAGACCACCAACCTCCCATCTGAATGGCTATGTGTTTGTGTGTGTGTGGGTGTAAGGCTTGTGCATATCTGAATATATTTCATAGCCTGTACCAGATATTTTTCTAGGTGTGGTCTGGTAACGGCCAGTACTAAGTCTCTACAGTGTTGCTTCACCCTGTGAAGTAATCCAGGCACATGGTTGACAAGGAATGAAGACATCCACCAAGTTTTTAAAGTAGCAGAGTATCATGCATGTTTTGTCAGACAGTACAAAGGTGAGACTGGTTTCATGTGCTTAATGATTACACACTTGGCTCAGCATCAACCTTTCAGGTACCTTTATAGCTCCTCTTCAGGTTGTTGACGCCTACACATGCATCATCTAGCATTCAACCTTTTCTCAGGCTACAGACTGCCACTAAGTGCATATCCCAGATCTCAAATGATAGCCAAAAGCCTGCATGTAAACACACCTGCTCTTATAGCAGGGATATAATTGTAGATCTGCAGGTGTCATGTCTTCAAGTTGGTCTGCTTTATCAGCAAGTATTATACTGAGAATCACTAATCATAACATACTCTCTGCTGCCCAGTGCAATTTGTCTGCTCTTTATTTTTCAGGCTTTTGAGAATATGTCTACCATAAATATAGCACGATCGGTGGGAGAGTATGTTGTCGTAAAACTAATATCATAAAATATAAAAATGCTGACAAATGTATTTTTACTTAAACAAGATGGGTTGAAGTATAGGCTATCTAAGAAACCCATACGAATCTCAACCTTTGACAGACTGAACAATCAAGTTTTCCTACTCTGGTTATACAGCTTTCTATATCAATGTTTATCTATTCTATCTACCTCTTTTGTGTACACCTTATTATGGGGACAATTATTTGTATTGCAGTATATCTTTATATAGTTTCATGATACATTATCAATTCTGGCATCTGGATAGAAATATATTTGCTTGAGATAAGATATTTTAGCTTTGAACCTGTCTGGCAATTAAGCCTTCTAACAGGCATCATTGACATTTATATGATGCCGTGTGTGTTTAATAATGCAGCGTTGATTGCTGATTTTTGTATGTATTGTAGTTCACTTTCTTGCAGTATATCACACATTGGACTGTCTGCCTGTACAGTGATAATCCTGTGCAAAATATCAGTATAATATCAGTATATTATCGTGTCATGAGTCATCCTATAATTACACAGTTTGGTAATTGAATGTTGAATGCTTTCTCACTCCTCCTACCCCACCTTAAGGGATTCATTTGTGGAGACTAGCAGAAGGACCATGCTTTTGATTTGTGCTTGCCTTGTGCCCTGTCATCACTTTCATGGCAGAGACATCATAGGCTCATCACTCTGTGCACTCTCAGGCCTAATGGCACTTTTTCCCCCCCCTTACTGCTACTGGGCTCGTCTCTCCACAGTATTCGTAGAAAGCTGTTTTTACATTTCCTCTGGTCACACCCACCAGGCTGTGTGCATAATGTATATGGTTGTCTGTCCACTTCTATGTCTATTAGTTTGTGCAGCCATTTCCTGCCCAGTCAGCTTTACAGCATAACAATGAGTGGCTGCCCTTCCCCAGAAACATTTGAATCCTAATTTGGGTAAAAACTGGCGCTAGTAAAGATTAGACAGATTATCTTGGTGCTATGCAGTTCGGTGCTTTGCATTAGAAGGTAATAAAAAAGTCTACATGTTGCTAGCTTTAGCCCACATTTTCATGTGTTTGTGACAGGGTT